AAATGTAAAATACAATTTTTATAGGGAGAAGGGAATAATAAAAATTATCATGAGGCAGTGAGCAATCATTTAACTTTGCTGATTTTTTTTTTTTTTCCTGAAAGAGGCCACTATTAATCATTTCTTGCTATTCTGAGCATGTATTTGTGCTGCTGCAGATTTCTGTGCTCTTCTTTGTCAGTTTGCGCCATTCCTTGGTGCGAAAGTGACAAGTAGTGATGGTGGGAACCTGACAGAATGAGGTGCAGGAATGAGTCTTGTTCATTTTTTTGGGATGGGGGTGGAGACATAGAATCTTCAAATATTTCTTCTGCCATTTTCAATGTGAATGTGTGACAAATATAAAATATATCTCAGACTAAATATAATCTGTACTACTCCTTACCTTGTTATACATCTTCCCCCAGCAAAACACCCTGCATGTTTTAAGGCAGGAGCACCCCAACACATTCCACAGTTGTCTAATCTTAAAACACTAAGAGAACTTTTGCCCCTGTCTTTGTGTTTCCTAGCTAGGCCAGTGAAAGGGAGCTCCCTGGTGACCAAGGGGTTTAGGCATTCTTTGGCTGATGGCTGGCTGCAGAGAATGGATTGTGTTCTTGGTCAAGCAACCTTCTGCTGCTTGCTTTTCATTCCACTCCTTTAATATCATCACTGCACCTCTCAAGCCATACTGCTCCAATTCTCCCATCTGTTCACTGGCTTTGGGGAAATTTTCTTGTCCTAATGCAAAAACTTCCTTCACTATGCAAGGCCTACTGTTTTATGGCACATCTGAGAAAAGTAGGGTGATTGTTGATTGACTGGCAGTCACCCCAAATATATTTTCTGTAACACCAACTGTGTACAAGGCACTGTGTTTGGCAGTCAGAAAATGCAGTAGGAACTACTATACTGTAATACATTTATGTATGTTTAATTCTGTGTCCTTTGTGTAGCTATAATTATTATCCATAATTTACATATGAGGAAATTGAGGGTTACACAGATTAAGAATATGGGTCAAGGTTGCACAAGCAGTAGATGTTGAAGCCAGGTGTTGAAACAAGGCAATCTGACTCTACTTGAAATTTAACATCTGTTTTCTTTTTTCTTTTTTTTTTTTTTTTTTTTTTTTTTTTTTTTTTTTGAGATGGAGTCTTGCTCTGTTGCCCAGGCTGGAGTGCAGTGGCGTGATCTCAGCTCACTGCAAGCTCCACCTCCCAGGTTCATTCTATTCTCCTGCCTCAGCCTCCCGAGTAGCTGGGACTATAGGCGCCCACCACCACACCCGGCTAATTTTTTGTATTTTTAGTAGACGGGGTTTCACCATGTTAGCCACGATGGTCTCAATTTCCTGACCTTGTGATCCGCCCGCCTTGGCCTCTCAAAGTGCTGGGATTACAGGTGTAAGCCACCACGCTTGGCCAATGGTAATATTCTTTTAGCAAACACTGAGGAAGAGATTTTAGAGGAAGTCAGGTGAAAGCAAGACAGAAACTCTCATAGAGGAAATATTAAAATAGGGAGTCTATTTTTCTGTGCCAAGTTTCCCTGCAACCAATGTGCAGGCCATGTTTTCTAGGCTGGCCCAGGTACCATGCTCAAAATCTGAAACCCGCCCTTGCCCTTTGCTCCGGCTTGGTACTGGGAGTGCTCTGCTGGAGCCCCATTTGCTTTTACAGGTGATAGTGATAGACGACTGACAAACCTGGAGAGGTGGGTGGTTAGCAGGGTTAGCAACGTATATATTTCGTTCTTCAAGCCACAGGTATGATACCATTCTTAGTGCTATGATGAGTATGTAATAGGATGGGTTGTGTTTGACTATATAAAAAGCAATTTTATAGTTAACATTTAGTGTGCAAAATTAATGCAGAATCAACCTCATTTTAAAATTGAGAAAATCAGAAATTAATTTTCTCTCTATTTTCTCCTCTGTCTTTCTTTCTCTCTCTCTTTTTCCTCAGATGGCTTCCTTTTATGTTTCAGGGCATAATTCATTCAGAAATTGAACTTTATCTTCAAGGTGAGGATTACTGAAACCATCGGTAGAAGAAAGTACAAGATGATCTTGTTACATCTGGACATCATGGAACACTATTCCCCAGTTTTCCTCAGAACAGCCCCTTTGATCATTTATCTTTTGTTGTTGGACTTATAGTATTCCTCACAGTGAAATAAAAACATATGTAAATCTGTGTCTTAGAAATGTTATATGCCCTACTTGAAGTTAAAAATCAGCGTAAGGATTTGCCACTGTTAAAGAGTTAAACTCATGTTTCTTCTTTTCCCACTTACGATGTCATCAGACAGATCTATTATTAACTGCACTTCACTTTTATTTTTGCAGAAATGCAAATAAATCATCAACCTAAAATACAAGAGGAAGCAAATGGTAAATGTTGTTGCCACTTTTCATCTTTTAATCATCTGAAATAATCCATTTCTGTTTCAAGATTACCAACCTTACACATTTTTTATAGTACATTCTTATTGAGTTTAACTGTTGATTGAAAAATACTTAAAATGAATACAGGAATAAGCATTAAAGTATAGTTGATTTATAAAGAAACTGACAGCAACTTTAGGCCCAAATGCTTTTTTCCTTAATGCTTCTCTTCAATAATTTAAATATATGGGGAAAATAATTATTTTCTGAATGGTTAAATTATATTAACTTCTTTTAATTGTACTTTTTAAAAAACTTATTTGCATATTGGTTTCTTAGTTTTCTTTTAAAGTTTTTGTAATTATCTTTTTCTATTAGATCCTCTTCAAATCAATCTGCAATTATATTATTAATATGTTACATTTTTAAAGTTGATCTGAATGAAATTGATAAATACTGTTTACTAATATGCATACCAGGATACCATATCTCTATGTTTTCAAAAATGGATATACTTTCTACAGTGGTGTGAAACTAGGCAAAGATTAGTGCTAATATTATTTTATTCATGAAGTCCTATAATGATGAAGATGGCTGCTGAGACATAAACAGTTCAAGCTTAAACTAGCATTCTTATCTATTTATATTAGGAACTGTGTTTCAGCTTAGTTTTTGTTATTTATTTTGTAAGGAAAAGTCTGTTCATGTGTCAGATTCTTAGTATGGTCATAATTTTACTAATGTTCCAGAATTTCTTAATAATTTTAAAGGACCTCAAGAGGTCTGTGTCTTACAATAAACCATCAAGTAATAAGGCTTGAAATGATATTCTAAGTAGAAAAATTATCCATTAATACCAGAACTTGGTGGGGCATATGTGGGTAATAAAGGCTAATAGTTTTAAAATGAAGGTTATAATTAAGGCTGAAAATATCAGAAGTCCTTTGCCAATAATGTAAGCCATGTAATCAACATCAGTGATGTCAAACATGAAGTTGCAATGTACAGGGAATGTGTTGACCTAGAACTTTGTTAGATATACTTCATCAGATTTGATTAAAATAAGCTATTTTAAAATACTTGCTTGTAATTAATTATTTCTGTTGTCTTATTTTATGGCCTCATTAAAATGTGTATTTTTTATAGTTCAAAAGTGGATTAGTCAAAGACTAATGAGTTTAGTTAGTTTATGATACACTGTCATTGTTTGTGAATGGTTCTGTCTTATTTCATTTTTAAATTCTAAATAATGCGACCTTTAATATTTCTTGGGATATGATTCTGGAAATACATTAGTGATCTCATAGTTATGTGAATGAGCTAATTTATGGTGTGGAAAGAACCTTGAAATGTTAAGCAGTCTAATCTATTAAGGCAGTGTTACATTGTGGTTAAGAATGTTGAAAAGCAAACATGAGTCTTAGATTTTGAAAGTATATGAAGCACATGTATGTCATTTATGCCTTTCTATGTAGCTTCAGGGGGAAGAAAGTAGACCAAAATGCTATTTAAATTTAAAGGAGAAAAGGAAAAAGGACTCAACTAAGTTATTTTTACTTTCATTTTGAGGTGATCAACACTAAGTACAATTGTGCACCATTACTAACTCCTAGCCATGTTTTATTAATTCCCACAATCATCTAGGACATGTTTTCTAAACTTTGACACCTTATAATCTTAAATATTTATAATTCATATAGGTAAAATCATTCTTCATAGCAAAACTAACTACATAACTGAGTTAGACTGAACTTGGTTGTGAGAGAATATTTTCAGTACCCATTGCTGGATTGAGTTTCTTCATTGTTATCAGTGCTTTTGGCATATTGCTCTTATATCCAGCCACTATGCTAAACCCCTTCACTAATTCCAATAAATTTATATTAATTATATAATAAAAAATAAATTTAAATTGTAGTTCTAGAAGGTTTTTCAAGATACAATTTGAATGATCTATGAAGACCATATCATATGTGAATTACAACACCTTTTCTTATCCTAATATGCTATCTAGGTCCCTGGTACAATGTGGAATAGAAGCAGTGATGGTAACATTAATAGTGAATGCGTATATTATTTGCTGTGTAGTCTAAGTGTTCCAGAAAAATTTATATATTTCATCCTCCAGTAACCCTATGGGGTAGGTTGTATCATTATTCTACTTCACAGGTGATGAAACTAAAGGACAGAGAGGTTTTTATAACTTGCCTAAAGTCATACAAACAGATTTAGAATTTGAATGCAAGTGGTTCGACTTCGGGGACTGTACTATTCTTGCTTTAGAGGGACTGATTTTCACTGCCCCCTGCCCCCAGTCACTAAAAATGTGTGCGTGAGAGAGTATTTATCTTCTGTGTCTTTGGATTTATCTTGTGTTATTTTTTAACATATTAAGCTACATTTAGCTTTTAGCCTTGTTTAAAATCTGAGTGAAAGGATGTTTTTAATTGTCAGGGGAGATTATTATTGTTATTATATTTCATATTACTCTTTTCTCAACCAGAACCTTTGTGGGGCAGGTTGGGTTTTTGATAAGCTCCTTTTACTACCCCTTATTTGGAGTCCAACCTTTCGCTAAGGGTGTATCCCCCTTCGGCTTACTTCAGAAGTCTCAGGTCCAGCTCCCACCCTCGTGAGGCCATTGCCACTCATTCTCCTGGCTTGGAGTGTTGGCATCCATCACACCTGCAGTCCTCGCCTTCTTGTTTGCTGAGTGCTCACCACTCACTTTCAGCTAGTGGCCCCTTTTATTATTAACATGCAGTGGATAATTTTTCTTACTTCCTTGAGATTAGAATAATGTACTAAAAACAATTTTTTTTTTGTAATTTATCCAGAATCTCATTGTATTATAGTGAAATGGCTTTAAAAATACCATCTCAGGGCCAGGTGCAGTTGCTCATACCTGTAATCCCAGCACTTTGGGAGGCTGAGGTGGCCGGATCACTTGAGGTCAGGAGTTTGAGACCAGCCTGGCCAACATGGTGAAACCCAGTCTCTACTAAAAATACAATAATTAGCTGAGCGTGGTAGTGCATGCCTGTAATCCCAGCTACTCGGGAGGCTGAGGCAGAAGTATTGCTTGAATCTAGGTTTTGGAGGTTGCAGTGAACCTAGATGGCACCACTGCACTCCAGCTGGGGCAACAGAGCAAGACCCTGTCTCAAAAAACTAAATAAATAAAATACCATCTCAGGAAACTGTGGCTCGGAAGTGTAAGAACCTTGTCATCAGTCAAGCAGTTAGTAAATGAAAGAACTGATATTGGAACTTAGCTCTTAACCATTACACAAAGCTGCTTGATTTTAATGACTCAGCTTCCTACATGTACTCAAGGATTTCTGACTTCAGGGATTTAAAAATTCTTGGAGCACTTATTTATAGGCAATGCCAACTCTTTGTAGTATCATTAACAATTTGGTGGATTTTGTGTGGTAAAGATTATTAAAATATTTTCTCTCTCCTCTCAATTCTATTGCCTATACATGCTTGGCTGGCCTCACTTCCCAAATAGTGTCTGCTCAAAGAAAGAAAATTAAATTTAATGATTAGTCTCAGCTAAACATGATTAAGAACATAAAATATTCTATCACATCATCATGCATTCTGAGTCAACTATAGATGGCTTTGTATTGCCTTCTACTCTGTTCATTCAGGGTACAATTTCCTGTGGTGGTGTGGATAATGACAGAGTAACAGCCTACCTCTTGTGTTGGAGCCTTCTGTCTGTTGTGTCAGCCTCATTTCCTCCACAGGAAGACACACTGTGGCACTACGGAGCCTGGGCAGGCCTCAGGAATCAGTGTCTCAGATGAGTGTGCATAATTTGTGAAGCTGAGATGCCAGAGGAACCATTTTCAAGATTGCCTCGTCAGTCCCAACATACAGAGCCTGAAACTAGGTTAATGAATTCCAGCAGGGCTAAGTGGGAAAAGGGAAGTCAACTTGTGAACAAGTTTAGAATCAAAAGGAGAGAAGGTGAGCCAAGAGGAATTCTCCCAGCAGAGGCCAGATGCTGTGACTTACTGTTTAGTGCCTGAAACCTTTGGTATGGGCATGCCAGGAAGTGTTAAGTGAGCAACCAGGAAGACAGTGCAGTGTTTCTCATGCCCTGGCTGGGTTTAGCTTCATTTGCTCCCAAATTAAATAGCTAGTGTTTAGTTTTTGTTTGATTCTAGAACATTGGCTCACACTTTTTTTTTTTTTTTTTGGTTTGAGACAAAATAACCGTAACTCAACATAGCAGTGGAATGGAATGGATTTGACACTGAAACAGTAATACTCACTCAGCATCTTCAGATAGCCAACAGCCATGCAGAAACATCACCATCAACAGCCTACACCTCAACCACTTTGTGTTTATAAATAATTCACAGAAAGCATAGAATGGTTTGGGGTGAAGTAGACTTAATCAGGGTATGTCTTATTAGTCTGAAGCAAGTTTTCTAAACCTTGGGTCTACTGACATTTCACCTTGGATAATTTTTTGTTGTGGGGGACTGTCATAAATATCAGGGTATTCAGCAGCTTTCCTGGGTTCTGCTCACCCACTGGATGGCAATAGCACGCACCTAGTTGTGATGACAAAAAAAAAAATGTCTCCAGACATCAACAAATGTCTCTAAGGGGCAAAATCACCCACAGTTGAGAACTGCTGACCTAGAAAATAGTGGTTCTGCTGGAAAAGTGGTCAGAGAGGTGTGGAGATGGGGAAGTCTGGAAAGGAGGGTGTGGGAAACTGTTTGCTAAAAACGTCTGTAACTGCAGCATTTTCTGTGTTCTTCTGAACTCGACAAAAGGTGGAATCAGCCTGGGCAGACATTTGAAACTGCCTTGACTAACTGTGTAAAGCAGAAATGATAGTATGTGACAGTTTTGCTATACACTATTAGGTCATAAAAGATGACACCACTCCTGCCTGGGAATGTTAGTCTTTAGAATCCAGCCACTGTCCTGTGAAAAAGCCTGGACCTTATGGAGAAGTCTGCATGGAAAGGAACTAAGGC